TGCTAAAGTAGTAGTGATGGTGCTCTGGAAGAGCCTTACAGAAGATTCAAATAAGGTCCACTTAGCAAAGCTGAGAAATAACTGTCGTTTATACATTGAAGTACAAGTTGGATGGATTTTAATTTATTTTTTTTCCCTTTTTTTTCTTTTCAGATGATACTCTTTTTTTTCTTTTTTCTCAAGTATACTGGTGATAAAAGGCGTCTACTTATTCCTCACTTCAACGTACATTGACCTTCTATTTATGTATTTATGTATGTATGTATGTATTTATTTATTTATTTATTTATAGTTACATTGGTAGCAGCATCTGTTTTGCTTTGCTGTTGCTCACATCTCATAAACTACCTTTCAAAAGTTCGGAAACCAATTCGATAATATTACATATTCAATAATAACTTGACCACCACTTTTGACACCAGACATTCTAGATATTAATATATTTTAACGTATTTTAACTTATCTGCAACCAACACACAAATTAGGGTTCTTCAAGGGTTCTTTAACAAAGAAAATGGTTCTATATAGAACCATGAACAGCTGAAGAACCGTTTGCTTGTTTAAAGGGTTTTTTGCATTGTGAAAAGTGTTCTTCAGATTGATGTGGGAAGATGGTTCTATACAGAACCTTTTTGAAAATGGTTCTATATAGCCCCAAAAAGGGTTCTTCTATAGTAACAAGCTTGACATTGTAACAATAGAAGAACCCTTTTGATGCTATCTAACCTATTTCTGCTTAGGAAACCAACAAAACGTGTCATTTGACAAATTTTTGCGTACAACTCTGACACCAAAGGTGACTAAAGCAGCCTGTATGACCCGTGTTGGAATTACGTTTATGTAGGTTTATGTAGGTTTCATGTAGCCTCATGAACACTGTCCTACAGTAAAGTCTTACCAAGCACTTTATAATAATGCTCATATGACACACGCAGTTATTCTGACTTGTTGCTTTGCACTACAGGAAGTGTAGGGGGCGATATGGCTTCGGCTATTTTTCTTTATAGCTTACAAGAAAAAAGTTCTTATCAGAAATAAGAAATTTAATAAGATAGCAAAGTGTGGGAAACCAAAAGGCATTAAAGTTTGATTGGTTTGATTAAATAATAGCCAACTGGCTAATCAATTACAGAAACAATAATAGTAGTTGCGAATGAGTACATGTCTCTGCTCCTTAACTGAGTGACCACTCAAATATGCCCACTAGGCCTGCATAGTAATGAAATGGACAGTCTCTTCTTCCTCGGGCGCACCCTGCATTGTGGACTGTTTACTTGTTGTCAGTGAGTATCAGTGTTTGCACTCTCGTGCCTTTGAAGCGCTTTGTTCACCCACAGTTCTGTAAGCTATCTCTGTTGCTATACAAGCTCTTAGATAACCCACAGTGTCATGAGGAACAAAGAACCAGGAAATCATGTACTGATACTCGTCTGGCTGTCTGCGTTCTTCTTTTAAGTCTTAGTTTCTCTCAGTTTTTGAGTCATGAGTGGTTTTTCCTCAAGCTGTTAGAGAGTTCTTCCTCAGTGGTTCTTCCTATGAGAGGATGAGAGAATACAGTCACATGCATCTTTATTGACCGCTGACCAACGATGCCATGGACTCACTCCACAGTGTTGAGCTGTGCTTTGATCAGGTTGCACCTTCAAGGGAGCTGGAGAAAGAAAGTGAGAGGATAAAACAAAGACATTTAGACATACCTGACCTCACTTGACCTGGTAAAACTGGAGTGACTGGTTGAAGAGTTCTTTGCTGTGCTGTGTTGCATCAGAATCACTTTAATAGCCTTGTGGGAGTTTTATTCTGGGTGAAATTGTTGCTTATGTAAGTGCAATAAAGTAAACAAGTAATACCAAAAAAACAATATAGCCAACTTGCACAAAGGGTCTCACAAAAATACAGTCATTTTTTGTTGTTTTCTGTTTTCATTTCTTTCTCCCAAACCTCTCCTTACCTGACAGAACGGACAGAGCTCCTGGTCAAAACTCCCAGCCTGTGCGGCGGTGGGAGCTCTGAAATGAATTTATCTGTTGAGCGACAGGTTTTGTGGATGTCCCACCGAGAGCAGGAGGGAACACACAATAACTCTGCTTCCAATCATCCATGGAGCACAATTTAATCAAGCCTTTTGTTGGACTATTATCAGCTTCTGATAGCCTGCGGTCATGAATATGTCTCATCTGTTTCACCACGAGGCAGCTAATCTCCTTCTGGAGCGGCAGAAAATTCCAACCCAGTAAATAATGCAAATCTGACATAAGCTCTACACCCCAAAGCCCCCACCTTTTTTTTCACGGAAGTGCGGATTAACCCCCAGGACGCTTTTCTGAGAAACGTGTTGTCCACTGGGTTCGACCTGAGACATCTCACTGGGGGGGGTTTGGGAGGGGCGGGGGTTTGGAGGGGGACAACAAGAGATTGGTTCCTCTCCAAATTCAGTGATCTGTGCGAGACAGTATGATGCATATTAGGGCAAAGGATAGCACGTCTCATCTCCCGGCAGATGAAATATGAAATTACAAACTTGTTAGTGTTGTCATCCTGGGCGCCGGCATTTCAAATCCGGGACGGATTTGGCATCGATGGGGAACGTAATTATTTCTTCCTCTTTGTTCGCATCTGTTGTCTCTGGCCGTCCCTTAGAGGACCGACGGAAGGAAAAAAAAAAAAACAAAAACAAGAATAACACAAAAAGATTAAGGTTATTAATAATAGCAATATGAGTGGGATTTGTCTAGTCTCTTTGACAGAGTATCAATCATATGGAGCTGAGGAAGCAGGAAAAGGTCAGATCAGGCCAGGCTTTGGGCAGCCTCGCCTCCAAGCGCCGCTGTTACCTAGAGATTGCGTTCTATAGAAACAGAAAGACTGACACCGAATGGTTAAAGTGAGCCATTAAAATCAAGTGATCAAATAACATTAAATAACTGAAATAACTGAGCATTTTGATGAGGAACAAAAAAAATGCATTTTTACAGAAATTGCAGCTTTTGTTAGATCACAGATTTGAAAATTGAAGAGCCTCTCAGACTTAACCCCACAATTTTACAGAATGCCTTGTCTTACATTAGTGAAGGCGCACACACTAGATGCATAGGCTGAAAGAGGGTCTCTCAAACAAAGAGTTTTGGCTATAAATAAGGCTCAAAAGCCCAAATGTTGTTCTTACCATGTGACACAAACAAAGCTGCAACTGGGCCGGACTTGTTTGTGCTTTTATGTTTGCCTAAAACGCAAACTGTGGGTGAATGTGTGGTTGGAAAATGTGAATATAATTCTATCCTGCAGTAAGAGCTGGAGAAGGCCTTTATTTCTCACTGGCAGCTGACATGAAATTATAACGTGAGTGCCTTGAGGTTCTGGTTATTACGGTACTGAAGTTCTAGAGGCACTCAAATATTTGCCAGTATTCAACAAGCAGCTCTTCCATCACTGCACTTACATGTCTCTTCATCTTTTATCTCTCTGCTAACCCTGCTGACTGTATCACTTGTTCAGTTACATCTCTTGCCTCTATCTCACTCTATGGGACTTGTGAACGTTTTGTGTTAGAAAAATCAAACATTTATCAAATTAAACATATTTCTAGTTATACCTGTCATACTTGTAACTCTGCCTCTGGTACATTTATGTGTATCCCTGCTGTCAGAGCAAAACCTTGTATCTCCAAAATGACAACTTTACAGGAGAAGGAAAAAACATACTTTACTTTTAATGTAAGTCAATGGAACCAGACCTCTTTCCATGTCATTTTGGTTCATTTATTTTGGTCCATTCATCATGAAATTCACACACAATGTGAAGGTCAACAGGTACTTTAAAATGAGGTCAGCAACGATATGTTCTGGGAAGGTTGCAAAAATATGGACCTGATATTTTATAAAACTAATAAAACAGTAGATATATTATCTAAAGTACTTGATCTCAGTGATCCACTGTCGCCACATTTATGTCTTTTAAATGAAGACTCCACCCTTCACTTTTCTTCGATTCAGCGAAGGATGCTGATGGCAGGTTTTACAGCTACAAAGAAAACTGTCTTGCAACTTTGGATCGCCTCACAGCTTTTAGCTATGAAATCCTGGATATCTAGTTTTCAAAATATAGTTCAGATGGAATCTTACAGCAAAGCTTAACAAAGCAAACCAGTCAGCAATAAGAAATTGGGAGAATTTATGTGACTCTGTTCGAGAATTTTAGTTTCCAATCAAATTATGTGATGTTGTTCAGTTGTGTATTTGTTTATGTAATGTCTTTGTTTTATTTTTGATTTGTGTGTATTCCTAAAATGTATGTCACAATCCTGCCTTCCCCTCCCCCTTACCGTTCCCCACACTGGTTGTTAAACGTAATATAAAATGCAATAAAAAGTTGATCACAAACAAGAAAAATCAAACACTTAAAATCATCAGTTCTCTAATCATTTGGAAGCTTTTTGGGAGGCTAGAGGTTTACTTGACTGATAATTCCATATGTTGTCTTCTATTGCTGTGTGTATCATTCATGTTTTAAGGAATTGTGCTCAGGTTTTTGTCTTTTGTACCTGCCCAGGGGCTGCTGGCACATTTACAGAAATATGTATTTATGAGATTGCTCCTTTAAATCTAAACCAAATAAACATAAGCATAAACGTCTTTCCTCTGTCACACTTCCAGATCATATGCACCAATCTGATCAAACTCCTGATCTGGAAATTCACTCCCAATTGTGAAAATCTGTCAGATGGAGCAAATCAGGGTTAAAATGGCGCTAAAATTGTGTAATTTGTGTAACACAGCAGCTTCAACCTAAAACCAGGCAGAAGGACACAGAAACACCCTTTAAAGAAAGGAATGCACACCAGTCTGTGTGTGGTTTGCTTCTCTTTTTGTTGGCAGACGCTCTACTTGATCCAACAGTTGGAGGTCACCTCAGATGTTTCTCAGTCTCAGGTGGCACCTTCACAACTATCCCTTCACACTGGGTGACGAGTGTATGTTTTCTGTTATCTTTCATCTCCCCAGAAATTCTGCACGGAGGAGTGTATGTGGACCAGAATAAGTTCCTGTGCCACGCTGACACCATCCACTGGCAGGATATAGTGAAGAACGCCCGGCCCGATCATCTGGTGGTGCCGTCCAACAGCAGCAACTCCTGTGAGTACTGCACAGATAATTTACTCTGCTATTAATAAACTCGCCTTGACAATAGGAGGCTAGTATCTGCACAAACTGTACAAACTGTAAAATCTGTACAAACATGACTTTTTATGGCGCTTTTCTAGTAAATTTTAAGCGATTTTCCACTGAAATATAGTTAATAAGCCTGGTTATGTTTTTTACCTGAAACTACAAGGCTAATGTTTTTCGCCACCAGTTAGCATCATGCAAACTGCATTTGTGAATCTTCACTGAATTGCTTTAGTAATCTCAAACAGATGTGTTTATATGATTTGTGAAACTGGCCGAAAGTACATAGCACAGTGCTGTTTCCCACTATGCTACATACTTTTGTCCATTGTTATAGATAAAAATGTGCCTGACAGAGTCAGAAACCACCTAAACAAGTCTTTTAAGACTTCTTAGCAACACGAAGCAGTTTGAGTCAGGTGCATGGTCATTTAGGCATGCAGTTTGCACCATGCTGAGGGCTAAGTGGCTATAAGCTTCCATTACTTGGCTGCATTAGCTTCATAGCTCTAGTGCACAACTAAAGAACTTCTTTTTTGATCTATGTCCATAATATAATGATATAATAAAGGCTCAGTACGGTGGAAAGTATTTTTTGTACGTTTTGAACCCCCAGCCATAGAACACCTCCATTAAGCACTTGATCAGCACCCTCTGGTAGCTCTCTCTGCACCGAATGTCTTTGACTAGTGTTTACAGAGTCAGAAAGAAAAGCAGCTGTGCAAATATGAGGCAGAAAATTGCCTCAAAATGCTGACACCGCACAGTGACTACTTACTGATGTGTTTCCCATGTGAAAATAGGAACTAATTAGCCTCAAATGACAGTCCATAATGATTGCAGGGGAACATAGGAATGGCCACTTTTGTATGAGCCTTTTGTGTGGGGTTTAATGAGGAAAATCAGCCGTCTGCTTACTGACACCACTATAGCAAACATACTTAATGGCCAAACAGAGATGTTATCAGAATGGCCTGGAATTGCATAGAAAGTACCTTTCAAATAGGGAATAACCATGTAAATTGAATGTAATTTGAATGTTATTTGGATTTTATAAGACTAATTTAGTAGTAGAGAAATGTCTAAAATGGTCGGACTATGTTAATTCTTGCCAATTCAGTTTGCAAATGTTGAGTACAATATTTGATCACCATGGAATGCAACAAAGTGCTGTGAAAAAGTGTTTGCTCCCTTCCCAGTTTCTTCTATTTTTGCATATTTGTCACATTTGAATGTTTCAGATCATCAAACTACTTTTAATATTAGACAAAAACAACCAAAGTAAAAACTATTTTTTTTTAAATGATGATTCATTTATTGAAGGAAAAATGCTGTTCAGCCCTACCTGGCCCTGTGTGTGAACGTAATTGCCTCCTTAGCAACTAAATCAACCAGTTAACCAAATTCAGTTGACTGTTGGGTTCAATTTCACTGGCCACACCCAGGCATGATTACTGCCAGACCTGTGGAATCTAAACATCACTTAAATAGAACCTGGCTGGCAATGTGAAGCAGCTAGAAGGACTCAAAAAGCAGCAGATGATGCCTCGTTCTAAAAAGATTCAAATACAGATGTGAAACAAACTCACTGAAATCTACCAGCATGGAAAGGGTTACAAAGCCATTGCTAAGGGCTCTCCACAGTGAGAGCCATTATCCACAAATGGAGGAAACTTAGAACAGGGTTGAACCTTCCCAGGAGTGACTGACTCACCAACATTTCACCAAATGCGCATTGACGACTCATCCAGAAAGTCACAAAAGAGCCCAAAGAAACACCTAATGAGCTGCAGGCCTCACTTGCCTCACTTAAGCACAGTGCATATGATTCCATAATAAGAAAGACACTGGCAAAAATGGCATCCATGATGGAGCTGCAAGGCACAAAGCACTGCTGACCAAAAAGAACAGAAAAGCTAGACTTGATGTAATTGATGGAACCATGAATTCTGATCTGTAACAGAAAATCTGTCCACCCATCAGTTCGTGACCTAAAGCTCAAGCGCAGTTTGGTTATGCAGCAGGACAGTGATCAGAAGCGCACAAGCAAGTCCACCTCTGAATCGCTCAAAAGAAACAAAATTAAGGTTTTGGAGTGGCCGAGTCAAAGTCCTGACTTGAATCCTATTGAGATGCTGTGGCAAGATCTTAAATGGTCAGTTCAAGCCTCCCAGTGTAACCAAATTAAGACAGTTCTGCAGAGGAGAGGGTCAGAATTCCTCCACAGTGATGTAAAAGACTCATCACAAGTTATCACAGTCGTTTCATTGCAGTTGTTACTGGCAAGGGCAGCACAACCAGTCTTTAGGTTTATGGGGCAATTGTTTTTTACATGTGATGTAGGTTTTAAATAAATCTTTATCTTTAGTAAAATCATTTGAAAGCTGCATTTTGTGCAATTGTACAATTTGTACAATTCTTACTTGTGTTGTCTTCGTCCTATTTTAAAATTAATTGGATGATGTGAAATATTTAAATGTGACAAATTACCAAATATAGAAGAAATCGAAAGAGGGGCAAACACTTTTTCACAGCACTGTGTGAGGCACACTGCAGGGACAAACTGTATTGGATTGTGTAGTAATTATCATATAACAAAGTCTTGCTGTTCCCAAAATGTGTAAAATATGGAATAAAACACATAACAACTCCGTGACGCTCTTATGCAAAGAACTTTTTTGTTTTTAGAGTCTCTTTGTAGTGAATAAGCTATTTTTTCCTTTGTGGACAGAATAGTACCTTGTTTTTTCCCTTTGTCCACCAAATTAGTCCCTACAAAAGACCACCATCATTTTTTTCTACATCGCAAAACTCACTATTGTGTTTAAGTTTGACAAGTGATTCCAAACTTTTGAACAGCAGCACAGATCAGACAGTCGTTCTGTCTCACTCCATTCTGAGTCCTGATATTGTCTGAACTGGCTGAGTTCATGTTCTGGTCCACCTGACACCCTTTCATTGGCTTTGATCTGGCTTTCCCCTCGCGGCCAAAGATCATGAGCCTTGGAGCGTGTAATCCACAGTAAAACCCTAATCTGCTGCTTTCTTGGGCCTCCTCCAGACACTGTTTATGTTTTTTTCCCCTCCATCTCGCTCCAAAACAACAACAAGGAATAAGAAATGCTCTTTTAATCGGTTCAGATTTAATCCCAGGCCCCCCCTCTGGCCCTTTGCTCCGTTAGCCACTCTTTTGTTCCAGTGTTTTCAACCTTTGGTTCTATTTGAAAGCCATAGTAAAATGTTATGATGGAAGGGAGACGATGAGATGGTGTCTGTCAAGGACATGAGGTGTAAAAATGGGAGTAATAGCTACAATAGAATTTTGTAGCTGCAGCCTCATGCTCTGGGCGACCCCGGTAATGTGGCAGCACGCACACGATCTGTATTAGGGGTAATTTAAGCAGATCTACTCTCTCCTTGACTTTGTGGATGTGTCATTTAGGAGGGCATCACCATAGCAGCATGCAAGACAGAGCTGAGCCTACAGCACTGCTCTGCTGTTCATCCCAGTGCAGGACTCTTGTCAGAAGTAGTGAATGAGCTTGGGCAATATTGTAAATGCAGACAAGCAGTTATTTTCTGCAGAATTAGCACGATAAACAATATTTTCATAATACTAACTCAGTTAAAAAGTGCTGTATGTGAGCATTATAAAGCCTTACATTTTCCCTAATTATAATAAAATTACCACTAAATTACCAACTGGACGAGCTTCTAATACTACTTAATAAGTAGTGATTGCACATTGCATTCTTCATATTTATTTGCCAGATTTGTATCTGCGAACGTGTCTCTCAGTTTTAACATATTGACACAGCTCCAGAATGTTTGACCTGATCAGGAATGGTGTGCTTGTATACAGCTTTTTAATCGTAAATATGGTTTTCATGTAATGATTGTAGCAATTACTGGCGGAGCTGTGTGAGCAAAAGTTTGTTCATCCCACGTTTATCACAATGATACAAGTACACTAGAAACACCCTAGCAACCACAAGAGATACCACAGAAACCACGCAGCAACATCCTAACAGCCATCTGAAATTCCATAGCAGCCACCTGGCAACACCCTAGCAACCACCTTGGGTACCATAGCAACCACCTGGGAACACACTAGCAACCAGAGGTGCTCAAGCTAACACCTGTCATTACCCTAGAAACCGTCTGGAAGGCCATAGCAACCACCTGGGAACACCCCATAGCAACCACTTAGCAACCACAAGAGATACTATAGCAGTCTACTACCAACATCCTAACAACCATCTGCATTTCCATAGCAGCCACCTGCCAACACCCTAGCAACAACCTTGGTACCATAGAAACCACCTAGGAACACCCTAGCAACCAGAGATGCTCTAGCTACCACCTAGCATTACCCTAGCAACCATCTGGAATACCAGAGCAGCCACCTAGCAACACCACAGCAACCACCAGAGATAACATAGCACCCAACTACCAACACCCTAGTAACTACCAGGGATACTGTAGCAAACAGTTAGCAATACTTTAGCAACCAACCTCTTAGGACTTTTCTCAAGAACACATTTAAGAAGAAACTTAAGAAACATCGGTGAGTGAGGCACAGTGAGGACAGTGTCCTGCACAGACGGCATGTAACACACATGTAACCACATCCAGTGGCTCTCCGCATTGGTTTCTTTGGAAACCAAAATATTGCCAAACTGGTGCCTTTGTTTCCTTCTTCTTGACAAGCTTATCTATCTTACTCTCTTGTTTCTTTGTTGCATATTTCCCAGTATTCATTGCCGGACTAACATTCTACATCATATCTACATTTGTATGGGGGTCTGGGGTCTGAATACTTTCTGAAAGCACTGTGGACCTCACCAGCTCGGTCCCAGTCCTGCTTCTCCACACCTCTTCAAAAGTGAATAGAACGAGTGACAGAATGACTTTAAAAAGTCTGGGAAGCAGAGAGTCAGAGGGAATAAAGAGTAGAGAGGGGAAACTAGAGAGTCAGTAGAAGAGGTAGACAAAGTGCTGTGCCCAGAGAGAGAGAGAGAGAGAGAGAGAGCGAGAGTATAAGTGCGAGTCTGTTGGCATAATTACTCTTAAGTGAAGTGGTCCAGGGACGTAGGACGCCACTCCACCGCTCACTCATGCTCACACTGCAATTACCCAACAGTCAATTAAACCCTGGTGTCAGGGCACGCCATAGAGAGAGAGGCGAGGAAGGGAGGGGGTAAGGGGGGGCACTGAACGAGTTCCGTGCTGGCCGTCTCATCCGGTGCAGTGAGGGGAAGCTGATGGCTCTGGTGAGTCAATCAAAAAGAGCTTAGCAGGTTCAGCCAGGTCTGCTGCTGTCCCCTCTAACCCTCTGCTGGGCAGAGCAGGGCAAGTGTCCCCCACAAACCCTCTGAGAAGAAAATCACTTTGACCTTGTTTACACCTGCCACTGAAAAGCAGACCACCTGGGTCAGATCTTGAGATTGAGCATCAGTCGTTGGGTGTTTTGTGATTAGAATTGTTTTGAAGGCGACTGGAAGTGGTCAAAAATGCGTCGAAGGAAGGAGAAATTTGGCTCTTACCAATTAAAATTACTGCAGTGTTACGTCTCCTGGGGGTAAGACGCACAAAGGAAGCAGGACTGCCTGCTCACTAGGTTCATAACTAATAATAATAAACACATCAATAGCAGATTGAACAGTTTATTCAGCGCTCTGCACTTTCATCTTTCAACCAGCCATCAAAATTAATTAAACATGCAACTGAATTAAAGGAAACAAAAAGGAAGCATAACTTCAGGAGGACCAAAGGCCAAAATAACAAACTATCCTTAAAAAAATTAACCAGCTAAACTACCAAAAATAAATAAATAAATAAATAAATAATACAAATTTCAAAACCACTGCCCTCACTATAGTACCGATAAAGTCCAACAGGCCAAACAAAAAGGGCAGACCACCGCTACATTTCCTCTATTAAAAAAAAAGAAACGAAGTTTACAAACGTATTTTCACTGACCCACATATACCTGTAGGCCAGCAAATCACGACTCTCGGGCAGCCAGGGGAGCTGAACCGTGTGAGGCTGATAAAAAAGCCACTCCACATTGACTAATACCAAAGGGCTTTATAGCCGGCGCCAACAGGAACAGCCAATCACATGCCGGGAAAAGCGGGACGTCAATCATGCAGCAACGCCAACCTGAAAACACTCAGACACAGAGAGAGAGAAAAAGAGACAACCTGACACAGGAAGTAACAGTAGGCCATCGTTTGATGCATAATTTGTCCTTACCTCATGTATCATTGGTCAGTTTCTGACCACAGGACTGCTGTTGACTAGAAAATATCTGGCTAAGAGCAGCTCTGTGGTCAGACAGTGACTGTTGATGAAGAGCGAGAGGATGGCCTACAGTCTGTAACTGTACGCCAGCAAGGTGGAACTACAAGGGAGGGGTTTCTATAAAAGTGGCCACCTTTTTGAATCCATGTACGTGATCGAGTGTGTTATCACTGTTGGAGATGTTCAGTGAGGCGCTCTTTGAGTGTGAGCTGTTAAAATGTGTCTGTAATGCTGTGTATGTGTGTGTTTGCAGGTCAGAGGTGCCACCGTGCATGTAACGGCCGCTGCTGGGGTCCAAAGGAGAACCAATGCCAGAGCTGTAAGTCTCAGTCTTCACTGAATATTCCCGTTATAATTCCGTTATATTCCCGTTATACTTCCGTTATATTCCCGTCTGCTCTCTGCAGCATCGGAGAGCCTCATAAACTCACACAGTGCTTAAATATCATCATCTGAGAGGAGCAGCTCCAACCAGAGTCATCAACATGACAACAGAGGATGGAGAGAGAGAGAGGGAGGGAGGGAGAGAGAGGGAAGGAAGGAGAAAGAAAGAAATTTTCTTTCTTTCTCTTGTTCTCTCACCTGTCTTTTTCTTTCGCTCTCTTTCTTTCACTTTATTCTTTTCTCTGTCCATCTTTTTTCTCCCTCTATTTCTTTGTCTCATTTTGTTTCTTTCTCCTTTTTTCTTTCTTTCTTTCTTTCTTTCTTTCTTTCTTTCTTTCTCTTGTTCTCTCACCTGTCTTTTTCTTTCTCTCTCTTTCACTTTATTCTTTTCTCTGTCCATCTTTTTTCTCCCTCTATTTCTTTGTCTCATTCTGTTTCTTTCTCCTTTTTTCTTTCTTTCTTTCTTTCTCTTGTTCTCTCACCTGTCTTTTTCTTTCTCTCTCTTTCACTTTATTCTTTTCTCTGTCCATCTTTTTTCTCCCTCTATTTCTTTGTCTCATTCTGTTTCTTTCTCCTTCTTTCTTTCTTTCTTTCTTTCTGTTTCTCTGTATGTCACACTCTCTTTCTCTCTTATCACCCTCTATCTCTTTTTCTTTCTTTCTGTCTCTCTTTCACTTTATCTCTTTTTCTATCATTCATTCATTCTTTCTTTCTTTCTTTCTTTCTTTCTTTCTTTCTTTTTCTTTCTCTCTTTTCGCCCTTCACTGTCTCTCTTGTTCTCTCACCTGTCTCTTTTTCTCTTTCTCTCTCTTTCACTTTATCTTTTTCTCTATTAATCTATTTTTCTCTATTTTCTCCATCTTTTTCTTTCTCACTGTTTCTTTCTTTTATTCTCCTTATTTTCTTTCTTTCTCTTTCTATTTCTCTATGTCCCTCTCCCTTTGTCTATCTCTCTTCTCACCTTCTATCTCTCTCTCTCTCTTTCACTTTATCTCTTTCTGTATCATTTTTTCTTTCTTTCTTTCTTTCTTTCTCTCTTTCTTTCTTTCTTTCTTTCTTTCTTCTCTCTCTCTCGTTTATTACTCTACTACTCTCCTTCACTAGAACACTGACCGCCTCCTCATCCAGGACACTGTACTGAAGCATTTCTGTCTACATTTTTGCGATCTTTGGTGTGAAAGTCGAGACATCAGCTCTGTCAGCACTGCAGGTCGACTGGGTGGAAACGCAGTTTGGCACTTGTTTTGAATAACAGCCCTGAAAATAAACCACTACGTTATTAGCATCATGCAGGAGAAGTGGAGCTACTTCTGTTCCATTAAAACCCTACAGCAGGAGGCTATAGGAGGCACTTTCATTGTGTGGATACAGCAGCAAAATGCACGACACAAAATTATCTGTGGAAAGATCAGATGAGAGCATAACCTTGAGAGCATAACACCTCTGGAAGTGAGACTTCGACAACCTGGAAGTGCTTGAATCAGGGTCAGCTTATTATTTTATTTTTTGTGAGCCTAATTAATCACACTGTCCTGTCTGCTTCTTTCTCTCTCTCTTTTACAGATGTCTCTGTCATTTCACGCTTTTCCTCCATCTGGAGATGATAATTTCCTCTGTGTTCCTTTCATTTTCCATCTAACACCTTCATCTCTCACCCCTCTCAGTCTGTCTGTTTCTTAAAAGAGCTCTAAAAGAGGTCTGTTACTGTAACATGTGTCGATCCCTACAGACATCCTCCATAGAAAAACAGTCATTTCTCTTATTTGCTTTCGTTTTATTTTAGCACAATGCATGTTAAGCCTGTTCACTGCACAACTTTTAAACTCTGAACAGATTATAAAAAGACTGGGCATCTCACAGTATCCAACAGATTTCTTTGGGCGACTGAAATATTGGGGAGCACACAATAAACGATTAGGGATCACACACTACTCAACTTTTCAGCTGCTGCTGAACCGAACAGAGGTCACTGGACTCACGCGAACTCTCGCGTTCTCCTGTTACTAGGAGATGCAAGTAAACAAACATGGTCCGGCTCACTGCTGCTGTTTTCTCTGCCGTTTGCGTGGTAACACAGTAAAGAAGCAGCAGGTAAACGTCTAAGTGAGGTTTATTGACTCATTGATTTAAAAATGTGATCAGTGTGTTTTAGTTTTAAACGTACATAAACTCAAATGTGCTCATGCTTTTAACTCAGCTCATTAAAAAGTGACTTTTTAACCATTTTTCTTTGTTTACTTGCTGTATTTTCTTCTTTCATGCTCTCAGTTTTCATTGGCTGTTGCAGGAGTCCGTTCAGATTGAGTCGTTGACCAGTTTAAACTAGATTTCGCTCAGAGTCGAGTCAAAAAGATCAAACATTTCCCCCACTGGTCTGAAACGCGATCGGGAGTCTGTGCTCCTCACACACGATTCTCTCTTCAATGGTCAACTCCAACTGACCCAAAAATTTGTGGACCAGAGCTGACCAGAACAGACTCAGCCAGGGGCTGAAATTGGGGTGAAAGTCCTGTAGTGTAACCCTGGCTTTAGCTGTCTTCAAGTTCTGGGCTGACTGCTCAACAGCGGTTCTTTGGTCTGACACTGACTAATGATGAATGTGGTGGTGGGGAGGGCGGCTGAAAAAATGTGCATGACATCAGATGTTCTACAGTCTGTAATTATACACCTGCAGATGGATGACAAATTAGAGGAAAAACCTAATAAATGAGTGGAGAAACATAAGAAGTGCAGATGCTTCCAGACGGCTGTACAGCATGATACAGTTAAGCGGTTAACATCCTACTACGTTCAATCTGTGGCGTGTATAAAATGCCAAGCAGGTCCAGGTGACCTCGATTTTCGATGAAGATGACAAGAAGAGAAGACTTTGAAAGAAGGTTCATTATTAGTGCGCAGCTGGCAGGAGCTTCAGTGGCAAAGAACTGCTCAACTGGCCAGTATTTCAACAGGAACAGTGACTGAAGTGACATCTGCATTTAGATCTGTGGGAGACACCAGTAAACAGGGCTGGAAATCATATTCCCCACAAGTGGGCCAGTGTATGTAATAGTAATAATAAGAATAAGTTACATTTATATAGCACCTTTCATGATCCCAAGGTCACTTTACATAACAAAGAGCAACACAAAATAAATATGTCAAGAGAATGGTACAGACCTGAACGCTTGACCCCTACACTCTTAGAAATAAAGGTACTAAACTGTCACTGGGGCAGTACCGCTCTTATCACTGGGGTGGATTCCTCAAGGGTACATCTCAGTACCTTTAGTCAGGGAACATAACTGAACCATAATCCACTGAAATTATATTTTCTAAGTTGTATTGACTCCACACACCCCGTCTCGTCTTTATTTTACTGTTCTTAAAGGTACAGATACCTACTTTTCACCTGGAAAAGCTTATTTAAGGTGCATGATTGGACCTTAAAACCACTGTTGTACCTTTGAGGGAACATTTACATTGTTTGTACCTTGATGGACGAAAAATGTACCTGCACAGAACCTTTATTTCTAACAGTGTACAGTGATGGGGTCCAGTGGCACTGATATGCTGTTAGGGGATATGAGGTAGTTTTAAAGGGAAGAGTCACTGCAAACCATTTCAACGTTATTCTGACTGATCATCTTCATCCTATGGTGATTTCTGTCTTGATGGGAGTCATTTCTGTCTTAATGGGTCTCTTCCAGGATGGCAGTGCACGAAGGGTCACTGAATGGTTTGATAAGTATGAAAATGATGAAAATGACATGATCATATCCCAACTGAACATTAATGGTAGATGTTGGACTTACATATAGACAGCACTCTCCAGCACCATCATGCCGAGGTGGACTGAAGCTCTTCTGGCTGGTCATTGTGGCCCAACAACACTTTGTTCGTTTTTCCTTTAATTAATCTGTATAGGGCGGCATGGTGGCACTGTCGCTTCACTGTAAGAAGGGTATGGGTTCGGTTCCCTGGCCGGGCAACGTTTCTGTGTGGAGTTTGCCTGTTCTCCCCGCGTCTGCGTGGGTTTCCTCCGGGTGCTCTGGTTTCCTCCCACAGTCCAAAGACATGCAGTCAGGCCAATTGGACATGCTGAATTGCCCTTAGGTGTGAATGTGGCTGTCTGTGTGTCTGCCTTATGATGGACTGGCAACCTGTCCAGGGTGTTTCCTGCCTTCCGCCCAATGACCACTGGAATAGGCTCCAGCTCCCCCTGTGACCAAGAAGGACAAGTGGCTTGGATAATGTGTGTAGGTGAATCTGTATATAGTGGGCCTCATGAAGTGACCAATGAACATACAGTATATTTCAGTAGAAGCCATAGGTATAGGCCCCAGTAAGGAATGATTGCAGTTGGAGGATATTTTTTCCAATCTTGCTGCTCTCACTGCCGCAGTCTGTGCTCTCTGTGCCACCTCACTGTAACACATGGCTAAATTTTGCAATAGCAATTTAATATACACACATAACTCACCTACAGCCCAATAGTACAATCTCAGATCATAAAAATACAGTGTGGTAATATTAATAAATAAGTAAAATAGTCTGTGTTTGATTGCATTCCCAGACTGTGCTTCAAATGTTTTATCTGACGAGCAGTGGTTCTGTTCATGGTGGCTTTTGTAGCAGAATGTTTAATGGCGAGCAGATCAGTGAGCCCCTGCTGTCCTGATGAAATAGTTTGTTTTGTCTGGTTTAAATAAATGGGTCATCCAAGTATGGAGGAAAGGAGCGTCTGTTTTTGTTCTCACGACAGTCAGCGTCTGCTGACACAAAAAAGTGTTTCTGTTCTGGGCGTGTATCGATCTCAGATTCACACACTTTTCTCTGTTGTCCCGCTGGGCCTACGATCCCTGCTGATAACCAGATATTTATCTGATTTGTTGGAAAGTCAGTGCTGATAATCTTATGTGCTCACCTTTACATACAGTGCAGCATTTTTGCATTATTATTAGTTACACAATACATCTAATCAAAACGAATGGCCAGTTTCGGCTTCGATAGCTTTCACTCTCAACAATTACGAGATGTTTTCACAGTTTTAAACTATTGATTTGAACAACAACCAGGTTTACACAGTTTTGTGTGTAGTTGATCAGCAAAGACATGTTTTGGCATCTTAAGTTTGTTTAGTTTCGCAAGGGAGCTACAAGGAAGGCTAATGTAGCCTACAAGTGATGGAAGCTTATACCCAACCAGTTAACACCAGCACAGACTGTATGACTAACCAAATGTTCACATTAATAGGCTAATGGGACCCCAAGCTTGTCTCCCGTGGGTGTTCGAGGTCACTTTTGATGTTGCATGTTGGCTTGTACACTGTCCAGCTTCTGAAAGAAAACGTAAAAAATATCTACTTTGTATTGAGACCACACTTCCTTTATTTAGTTCCCACTCAAAATGACTATTTCAAGTTATTTATTTTTCAGGAGATAAGATCAAATATAATGCACTTGCATCAGGAAGGGAAAAGATAAGTGAAAAAACAAGAGTTCAAAAAATAACTAAAAGCTACAAGGAAGTTGGGATTCCTGACCACCACCTTGAAGGCCTGGTAGACACTAAAACAGCCCCGGTCAGATAAACAGCACTTAAAGCTTTCATCTTTGAGAGAGAGGAGAAAATCAAGCTGCTTCAGATCTGAAAACATCCACAGGTGTTTCTGTCCGTCCTTCCACTGTGAGAAGACGACTCAGCGCTGTGGGTCTGAAAGGATGTGTAGCTGTTCAAGAAGAACCTCACTGAGAAAAGGACAGAAAGAAAACTTAGCAAATAAAACAAAGAAGCTGCTGAAGCTCTCAGGAAAATGGACTGGCCACTGCAGAGTCCGGAGCATGATATATGTAACATCTTGTCCGGTTTTGTCTTCCCTGTTTAAGCCATGTGCTTTTTGTTTACGTTTTTCCATGTGCATTTGTTGTTATTTTGGTCCTCCCTGGACCTTTCCTCCCTGGTCCTGCCCCATCATCTTCATCCCATCGTCTTCATCTGTCTGTAGCTCCGCCCTCTCGTTCTTCCCAGATGTTGCTTGTTTTCCCTTTGTGTATTCATACCCCCTGTGTTTGGTTTAGTCTTTCTCTTGCGTTTTCTCTGTTGGTTTCCTGGTTTCTGGTTTTGTTACTTTATGGATTTGTTTCTTTTGTGGACCTTCGCTACTAAGTTTTGATTTTGTAATAAAACAACTCGCACATGCGTCCAGCCTCTATGCCTCCAACGTGACAGTATATTTGAATGCTTTTGGGATTATTTGGATCCTGAGAAGCGGAAAATGCAAAACTAACTTATGAGACTGAACTTTAGAAGAAAATATCCCTGCAGATTTCTTTGAAAACAAGGCTTCTGAAAAGAATGGAAGTCGTACAACTCATTTTATCAAAAAATGAATGACCGGTTTCAGCTCCGCCACCTGACAGCCGCACTGTCAACAATGCCGTAATGTTATCTAATTTGTTTAAATATGCGCTGTAGTTATAAGTCAAATGTCTGCATGTTTATAAGCTCGTAGGAATGAAAAGTTCAGAGAGTTGAGCCTGGGGACCATAGACGACCCCTGTCTGTGATTGTTCCAAGGAATTTTCTGGGCTCAATCATGTAGATTGTGGCAAAATGAGAGAAAATTGAGACAATCTCAGCTTGATTTGTGGCTTGTTGCCCTCTAGTCGTTTCACTTGTTGCTTGTCTCTAAATCACAGTTACAAATCGCCTGTTTCCATAGGAAATAACTGGTGACCTGTCGCCTGCTAATGTGAACACAGAGTGAATCATCACATATTTGCCTCACATTACAATGAGCTGTTATCTCAAATAGACTTGCTTGTATGGTGTGCAGTTTGCACAATGCTGATAGCTAAAAAGCTGCCATTACTTGTCAGCTACATTAGCAGTATAGCTCCAGTGCAAAACTAAAGAGGAAAACTTTAGACATCACATGTCTTCGCTGATCAACTGCATTTGAGGTTCAGAAGAAAATATATCCACTTAATTGTTGGTTCAGTCATTTTGGCCTTAAAACAATGATAATTAAAAAATAAGTGTGTTATTAACACTTCTATAAACTAATGTGCATTGTAGTCTATGTAGTTACTGAATCATAAGCCTTAGTATGTGATAAGCCTGGAATATTAAGGGGTTAACACATCATTTCTGACACTGCCTTTGTTAACCCTGCGATGGACTGGCGACCTGTCCAGGGTGTATCCTGCCTTCCGCCCAATGACAGCTGGGATAGGCTCCAGCACCCCACCGCGACCCAGAAGGATAAGCAGTTTAGATGATGTATGTATGTATGCCTTTGTTAAGTAAGAGTAAAAAAGTACACAGACTCATTAAAATAACACACCACGTACTGTTTATAACACGTCTGTTTTGAGGGTGTTTGTGTTGAGTGATTTCTTATCTGTGTGCTCTGGAGCAGACAGTGCATGTTAGCTGAGGTGGAAAAGCATCACAGCTGAAATGCTTAAGAACCCTGTTTTTTTTTTTTTTTTCTTTTTCACAGGTGTCCTCATTTACATGTTTCTACACACACACACATAACACGTACACACACACACACACCCCCTGACGAACACTTGAGCATGCATTGCAATACACATGCTCTAACATTTTCCACACCTTGATCTGCGGTTGGGATTACCCCTACGTGAGCATGCATAATGGAAAACGCAGAAATTCAGCTACACAGAATCAGGCAGATCACCTGAACCCTATGACCGTGCAGTCAACACAAGAAAACAACAGCAATAGCAAAACTGCATGAGAAAAAAAACAAAGAAAAATACATCATACAAGGAAAAGCACATTTTTTTCATTACACATGGTTCGGCAATAATTTTGGGACATCTACCTTTGCTGAAATTGTTTTAATACAAATAACCTCTTATGCTTTATTATTTTGCAATAACACTTCAGTCTAGGTGGACATTATAATGGCCCTTGTGATGCTCTTGTTAAGCCAGAGTTAGTACTGCTTTATTAAGCAGTACCTTGTCAAGTCAAGTCAAAGTTTATTTATATAGCGCTTTTTACAGCAGGTGTTGTCACAAAGCAGCTTTACAGAAAAATTCAGGTCTGAGCCCCCATTAGCAAGCCAGTGGTGACAGTGGCAAGAACAAACTCCCTAAGAGCAAGAGGAAGAAACCAAGATTCAACAGAGGAACCCATCCTCCTCTGGTCGACACCGGATAGCAAACAATAACAGCAGAATGAAGTTTGACCATCAGTATAAGTGTAAAATGTGGAAAATGGGAAAAGCAGGAGAAGCAAAGTCTATGATTAAAAATGCAGCAGGATCATCAGGAGGGTCAGTTCATGCAGGTGAGGTTCGTACAGCGTTCTACAGCAGGAAGATCCAAGGTGGTCGAACCAGAGAGCAGTGGGCACTCGATCAAGGCAGATGAAGCAGCAGCATCAGACCGTTAGTTCTGTTAGCAGTGGCTGATTACAGTATACAGTGTTACACTCCCAGTTTATCAAAATACTCCTTAATGTTGGTTATATGTGCATCAACCCCCCCCCAATCTGCACCCTTTATCAAATGGAATAAACTGATTACCAACAGCTTCACCAAACAAACAAAGCCTAGACTTAAAGACTGAGGCTGAGTCTGAGTCCCAAACAGACTGGAAGATTATCCCAAAGCATTATAAACCTTATACGTCAAACTTTTTCACAACGTTTATCGATATGAAGATTCTGATGAGATTCAGTCTAACAGGTGAGCTGTTGACTAGAGGTGATGTTAATAAGCACAGTTTATTCAGACCACCCTCAAATGAAACCTATACACCAGATGTCAACACCTTCTTAATACAGGTTACTTCAAAGTAGACAACCGAGAGCTAATTGGTGCTTTATTATTACAGTTATTCATAGAAATCTAAAGAGAGAAGTGCATCATAGAACCACTGCTCAGGTAACTGTGCACAAAATTGGAAAATGCTCTGGGAGAGTGATCAGTTCAGCTTAGTTATGGCTTAATAAAGAATTAATAATGCCAGTTAATTGGCAGCTACTGGCATGATGAGGCTTAATAAGAACATTGCAAGGGCGTTATGATGTCCCTCTGTATTGAAACGTTAACTTTATTACAATACCAGCCATTTAAACCACCTTTGGACTGAAATATATTCAATATGGGATTTTAATAGTAGTTTGGAAAGTAGCGGTAGTAGTTATTTAGGCTAAACCTAAAAAAAATGAGTGTTTAAGGGGACACCTTGAATGTTTAAGCTAAATGTACAGCACACAGAACAGTACCTTTGCAGGTACTTTGTTCTTTTGTAATTGAAAAGCAATGTTTAGGTTCCAAAAGAAGTCAAGGTGTCCACAAGCTTTTCACGAGACGCCTTTCAAGCTAATGAGACATTATAGCTCACAGGTTTTTGTCAGAAACGTGGATGTACACTGTGCTATTATTTTTTGGGTCATATTTATTTTGTGTGTGTTTTTTCCTAAGCTAACATCAACATGGTGGTGAATGCTGTGGTGTTGTAGTTTCCAACCTGCTGAGTTCCAATTAGCTGCACTAACACAGTCCAGCTCGACATCTTAAACTGAGTTGTGTCCTACAGTTTCCCATTAGATCGTGTACTTGTACAATATAGCACAGCAACAGTGGCTCTAAATACCTATTGAGCTAACTGGAAGACTGTCCTGTTCACATCTTGGCTGAAGGACGTACCTATTGGCCTAACTCTAACGTTCCTGGTCCTGCTTTGTGAACTTGTCCTCAGAAGTAATGTTGAACTCACTGACACTGACTCACTCTCTCTGTCTCTCTGTCTCTCACTCTCTCTCTCTCTCTCTCTCTCTCTCTCAGTAACTAAGACGGTGTGTGCTGAGCAGTGTGATGGCCGATGTTTCGGCCCCTACGTGAGTGACTGCTGCCATCGCGAGTGTGCAGGAGGCTGCTCGGGGCCCAAAGACACCGACTGCTTCGTAAGTTCATCATGTTCACATCACACTCAGCCTCACAGACATACAATCAATCAATCAACCTTTATTTAACCTCGGAGAACATTGAGGGTGACCCTCATTTACAGTGTTGCCAAGTTGATACAGAACAAGGGACTGATAATATGTAAGAACATATCAAATAATAAAAGTAAGTTCAATAAAAAATGACTCAAATCAGGTAGGTATAAAAAAATGAAACATTGATAATATAAATACATAAAAATACAATAAAAAATATAAAACAATAATTAAAACGTTATTAAAACTAGTTAAGAAAAATCAAATCAAAATAAAATAAAAGAAGAATAAGATCAAAGTAAACAAAAAAATAATTAAAATGACAAATAATAATGAATAATTAAAATAAGAATATGAATAAAAAATAAACAAATAAATAATAAAATAATGAAAATAAGCTAACAATGGTAAAAAATCAGGTCAAACAGGTGCAGGCAGAGTGGAGGTGGTTAGAGAGTAGAAGTTTAAAGTGACTGAGTGACGCCAGTGTTTCCTGTAGTGAATCCAGTTCGCTGGTGCTCTGTAACTAAAAGCAGATTTTCCCAGTTCAGTAAAAACCCTCGGTACCTGGCATGTGATCCAACCACTGGTGTGAGTCTGATAAATACCATTATTTACAGACATCGTTGGAGTAATATATTCTGGCACATGGCCGGAGTGTTTTATAAATAAAAATAAACCAGTGTGTTTCCCACCGTGCTGCTGGTGAGGGCCATCCAGCTTTTTTATACAGTCTGAGTGATGAGTGTTATAAGGGTCTCCAGTGATGAACCTCAGTGCAGAGTAATAGACTGAGTCCAGTGGTTTGAGGGAACTGGCAGACGTGTGTTTGTAAATTACATCACCATAGTCCATGACTGATAGCAAAGTTGCCTCAACAATTCTTTTTCTCACATACAGGACTGAGAAAAAAAGAAATGTGAATGATTAACTGATTAACCAGTTACTGACAGATGTATCAATGTTTGACCAATGTTTTCAGTTAAAAAGTAACTGTATTTATTACGTTCTAATATATAGTAAAGTTATTAATATGTAGCTTAGAAAAGTATAGTTAGAAGAACACAAATTCAGTTCCTGACTCACCAGGTTCCTTTGGCCAACACATGGATCTGTTAAATTGAAGAATCATTTACATAGAGCAGGTTTTGGATTGTAATTGTAAATACTGGACTTAAGGAAAGCTCTGGAAATGGTTACTGTATCACACTGACAGACATCAAATAACAATGTCAAATTGATTTATTTATTTTTTTTTTTCCAATCTTAATGTATCCAATGTATAAAATAAATCGTCCCAGGTGAACAGCTTTACGGATCGTTTTCTGAGACATTTGCTCAGACTACTTTGTATTTTCATGCTGTTTTTATTATCACCCACACATGCACACAAACACAGTGAAGTCCAAAAATCTGAGATTGCAAAGCTAAGATTTTTTTTTTGGTCCCACTTTATATTGTGTCTCTAATAACTGTGTAGTTACACATGAATAACATATGCAACAACACTGTAATTACTGATGATTTACTCAGTGTTGCAGATGGGTTAAGGAAGTACAGCCTATGGAATTACGTGTATCGACTTCAGTTTTGCCTCGTGTAATTACACAAATGTATCTTCTACACAGGAACTTTCCTGTAGGGTAGTGTTGAAGTTACACTTTAAAGTAAGTGGACAGTTCCTGTGTAGTTGGTATGTAAGTACTATGTAATAATGGAATGGTAATATAGACATTGCTTTGGGGAAATGAAAAAGTTCCATGTTAAGATAAGGGGACGTCTGCTGTTATGTCACATTACAGAATGGTTTAAAGTGGAAACTGGTTACAGTGTCACAGCACTAGCAACATAAATGCTAGCTAAATGTTAGGAAAGCTGGCAGATACAGTGTAATTAATGTCTTAATGTAAGTTATTACAAACTTCCTTTTACTGCTGGAAAGAAAAACTTCTGAAAAAAAAACTACTGTGCTAGTCTAATTACAAATGTAATTACATTTATGTTATTACCCTTGTGTAATTACATGAGAGAGAATAGGCTGTTACAACTATTAAGATACACTTGTGTAATTACATGAGGCAAAACTGAAGTTGATACACATGTGTAATTACATAAGGTGTATGTCTGCAATTCATCTGTGACCGTGACTAAATTATTAGTAGTTACATTTTTGTTGCATATGTTGTTCACATGTAACTACACAGTTATTAGAGACACTTAATATAAAGTGGGACCCTTTTTTATTATTTAAACCTGGAAATAACCAGAAAGGTTATGAGAGGTAAAATGAAGAAATATTCAAGATTCAACATTGTTTTCATGCAAATTTGAATTTTTGACTGTGTTAAGACTTTTGTACAAATAGGTCAGATAGTTTTCAGTCTCCTCTCTTCCACTGTAGCTCGTGTTCAGACAACTCTCAAGTGGATTTGATCTGCTTGTCAGAGGCTTTTACAAAAATCTGCTTGAGTGCACACTGTCATTCAAGCAAAGGAGGGACATCCTGTACCAAATACTTAGAAATTCAGAAATTTTGTGTTAAGTTAATTAAGTGATTTATTTTTTATTTTACCTTTATTCAAACAGGGTAATCACATTGAGATTAAAAATCTCTTTTAAAAGTGTGCCCTGGCCAAGAAGGCAGGACACAAAACAATCAACAAAGAAACCCCACCACTACCAACAAAATCAAATCAGGGTCAAAACCAAATTTGAAAGAGCCTCTGCTGGTGATGAAGCAGAACAATAGATACTAGTATCATCTGCATAAAAATGCATATCAGCATTTAAAACATTATTGCAGGGGTCATTAATGTATATTGTAAACAACAAGGGCCCCAGAATGGAACCTTGTGGCACCCCAGTTTTAATAGTAAGCTTCTCAGACAAAAAAAAAAATCATTAAAAAAAATATACACTGACATCTGTTACGGAAATTATTTCAAAATGAAAAAAGTTTGTCAGATAACCCAATATTAGCCAATCGGGACAATAAGATGTCATGGTTAACAGTGTCAAAAGTTTTTGATAAATCTACGAAAAGTGCAGCACATGATTTTCTACAGTCAAGCTCATTATTTGTCATTAAGTACGTTAGTGGTTGTTGTAACAGTGCTATGTTTTTTTTTTGTTTTGTTTTTTTGTTTTTTTTCTGAAAGCCAGACTGATAGACAGACAAAATATTATTGCTATTTAAAAACTGCTTTAACTGATCACTAACTAGATATTCCAGAATTTTAGCCAATACCAGCTTTATTAACACATTTAAGTTAATATTTCAAAAAAAAATATTTTCACTTGGTTTGTTTTGCTGATAATATAATTAGTACTGAAAATCATTCTAATTAATTAAAAAGGAATGTAAAATGGAAGCATTTTCCTTAGTGCTCTCAGACTCTTGGACCCCACTGCGCCTACACAAACCAGCAAACCCACTCTTATGTCCACATCATTCCTATCACATACACACAAGCCCACAAATCACTGTAGGTTCCCACCCTTCTCATCTGAGAATACCAGATGCAGCAGTGTTTGTAGCTGTCAGCTGCTGTATTCCAGGTCAACACGCAGACGGGCCGTTTACAGGCCCGCTTTCAGAGCTGTCTTATCTTTAGCCTTTTGTCTGGATGTGATGTTTGTGTGTGTAAATCGCCCACGCTGTCTTCAGTAGGCGTTGCTGACAGCACAGCTCACTGCACTAAACACGCTTTGTGTCGGCCGTCCCGCTGCGTCTTACAGACTGAGAGATCAGGAGGGGAACGCACCTCTACAGTCATGTGCAGAAGTTTGGGTCAAAAGCCCAAATTTTCACGTCTGTCTAGGACTTTTGCACTAGTGATGTGAATTTGGCAAATTCTTTTGACCAATAATCAATCGTTATTAGTCTGTGATTAATTGTTAATAACAAACTTAACAACACTGACACATCAAACACAGCACTGAGTTTGATATAAACAGCTTTAGCCTTTATTGAATTGAAGAATGCAGCCTAACGTAACAGATATGATAGTAATGTAATGTAGAGTCAACTTGCCTGCATTTACCAGACATTATTAGCCAAGTTAACAAACGTATCACTACTGTCAGAACAAAACCTCTCATTTTTTGTCATCTTTTCAGTTTTTGACATAAATTGAATTCCTGCTGCCCTTTACATTGTGTGTAAAATACATTATGAATGGACCAAAAAAATGACCGAAAATGACTTGGAAAGATGTCTGGTTCCATTGACTTACATTAAAAGTAAAGTGTGTTTTTTCCTTCTCCTGTAAAGTTACCATTTTGGCTTTTTTCCCAGTATGTTAATCTGAGTAAATAAATAGAAATTGTACACTAAAAACATACAATTTTAATAAAACATAACAAGGACAGGAAACAGCAAACAGGGTACAAAAGGGGCAAAAAAATTGGAAAAGTCAAAAATCCAGAAGCAAAGTCCGATACACAGTAAGGCAATGACAACAAGAATGACCGCTCAGTAGCTCTAAAGATAGAAGCAATACCTCACACTAATGTAGTCTAAAGCCCATAATATCCTAACTAGGTATGATCACATGATACAGTGAACAGGTGAAAAAGGTCAGGTGAGGACGGGCACTGATTGGTAGGATGCTGGTGGAGCCACAGTTACATGATCTTCCAGGGAGTTCTGGGAAATCTGGGAAGGGATGTGTGACATACTGTTTATTTGCTAAAATTAACGTACAGGAAAAAAACTTAGAAAAAAGCTAATAAATAATACATTGCCTGTGCAAAAGCTATGGCACCTTTCATATTTGATGTTATTTGTTCCCCAATATGTTAAATTCAGCAAATAAATAGAAACTGTGTACTAAAACCTGCAGAAAATATAAAAGCTTGTTCCCTGTAGAGCATTGTTTCTCAACCACTGGACTGTGGACCACAAGTGGAGCAAGTGAAGCACCATTTGGTGGTCCAACAAGTGCAGTGGGCCAGTGGTCTGAAGTGGGCCATTTGGCCAGTGGGGGAACTTTGTTATAAAAATCTAGAAAAAATAGCTGACTTAATAATTAAAAATGGTAAAATGAACCCCTGAACATTCCAGGCTTATTACATACTAAGGCTTAATATTCATTAACTACAGGGACTTCAGTGCAAACTAATGGAGCTTTTCTTAGATTATATGAGTGTGTAATAAAACTTTGGGCCTGTTGGTGGGCCCATGGCTTGGTAAGGGGTCAATTCAAGTGCAAAACACAGGCAGCTTTGTTATTTTTTGCCCCTAGAAACAGAATAAAATCCCCCTGGTGTTTGTTATTCACTTGCAACACTACTAAAAAACACAAAACATGTGCTGTGGTACTTCTCAAAGATGACATTCATAAGGAAAAATGTTAAGTTTGTTTTGTACATTTCAGCCCAGACTGCTTTTTGAATGAGGCACATAACAGTGTAGCCAGTCAGAACAGATTTTGAAGACATATATCACAACTCCTCAGTAATATAAATGCTGTAAGGGATAAATAGTGGTATAGATTATGATTATTCTTGGCACGTAAAGCCACAGCAGTAAGCGGTTAGGGATACAAAATGAGACAAATATTGAGTATAAGCTCTTTTAATGGTTTTCTGTGGCAGACTGAGTCCATCTGAGACTTCTTTCTCCAAACCCTCTTCTCCACTTCTGATTGGTTGCACAGTTTCCCTTCTTTAATTACATCAGCTTAGCTCTGGCCATTGAATCCGTACCTATTGGTTGCTCCCTTCTAATGGGAAATTCACTTCTGCGGCCCAGCATCCCGTATGCGGATCAATGCTTTTGATTTTTTTTCACGCAGCAGCAGCGCTCAGAAAGGAAAACTTGTAGCATCTATTTTGTCGGTTTAAAAGTGTTTCTCATTACAGAGCCAGTGTCAGAATCATCCATGGCTTTAGGTTATCAGACGATTACACAGATTTCTGGTGTCCTTAGGTTACAGACATGCACAGCACTGGAATGATATGCTGTTGAAATGCTTTAAATACACACATTGAATCCATAATTTTGTGTATTTCAAATAGAAAACACACAATAAATAAAGTCATGTACACTATTTAGGCCAGATTTGGAAGCAATAACACCTTTGAAAAAAAAAAGAAGTATTTTTTCAAGAGATAACAGACAGATATATGTCCCAAAGCCTTTCTCTGTAGCAGTGGTGCTCGACTAACTGATTGTTAATAGTTTGAGCTCCTGCTGACTCTCCTGCAGTTTTATTGCCGCTCTAATCTGATCCACCTGATTATAACCTTCAGATTTTCCTGAAGGCTTCATCAACTCACTCAGATCTGTTTCATTAGAAGGTTGTAAATAATGAAAGACTGCTCACGTGAGGCATTGTTACAGGCATAAAGGCTTTTTCCATAGAATATGCTACAGTAATAATAATATAATGATAACTTGTATTTACACAGCACTTTTTATGCCAGTGGCAGCTCAAAGTGCTTTACAGACAGGAGATAAAGCTTAACAGTAAGAAATTACAAGTATTCATTTAGAATCATATAAGAAAATGATTAAATTAGAAGATAAACACCACGAGACGTAGAGTTTTAATTAAATACTAAGTTAAAGAGATGCATTTTCAGATGCTTCTTAAAAGTGAGCACTGAGCTTGACTGTCTAATAAAAGGTGAACTGAGCTCCACAGTTTAGAAGCAGAATAACTGAACGAGTCTCTCCATGTTTTCTGTATTTCACTGAAGGTGTTTGTAGAAGGTCAGTATCTGCAGATCTAAGATCATAAACAGACAGACACTGTGATATAAACGGTGCTTTAAGGTCGTTTAGAGCCTTAAAAACTAGTAACGGAACTTTAAATTCTGTCCTGAATTATACAGTAACACTGCATTGACATCGTGACAGTAGATGGACAATGGAAATCACCAACAGCAAGAGCAGCGTACTGCAGCGGTCAGTGGATTGTCTCCATCAAGAGTTCAATTTTCCCAAATTTTCCCATCAACCACTGCAAAACCGGATGCAATACACCTGATGTTGATTTACAGAGATGTGGGAGCTGAATATATCATTGCTGAAGTCCAGGTGAACTCAGTATTACACAACAATCGTCAGGCTCGGACAGAATTCAGATGCTTGCAGACCAAACTGAAGTAATACAGATTTATTAGCAAAAGGAGCATCCAGATTCAGGGCCAACCAGTCCGAAGTCAAAAGCCAAATCCAGAAAACAGAAAACCATGAGGAAAGTTAAAAAAACAGAAACCAAAATCTCTAAAAGAAGGTCAAACCAGAAAGGCCAACAATGCTAAGAGGGCCAGGCTAAAGACAAGGTCAAAAACAAAAGAAGCAATGGTCACACACGGAAAAGTGAACTAACTGACTGGAAGGCACTGGAAGGCCCGGCAAACAAAAGCAATACTTCATAAAGTGGCAACAAACTGAGGGGTTTATATAGTGAGCTTAACAGGTGAGCTGAATCAGTAATCAGGTGAAGCGGAATGGTGGAGAGTCATGTGAGGTAAATCTGAGGTCATGTGATCAGGCAGGTTGTGCTGGGAAGTCCGGAGGCACTGCTTTATGGTTTTCTGCTTGAAAACTAGCACAGTCGAAAAGTTCAAATGACTTTATTAGCCTGAGTAATTGGTGTGCTAGAAACAGGATCCTCTTACTGAAGTGTTTTTCTCTCATGCTCTAGATTTCTGTTGACAGAGTAAGCTACAAACCTCAGCACACATTTTCATTTTATTATTTTTTTTATTATTTTAATTTTAGGCTGGAATGTTTATCAAATATATCAATCAGATGTTTATTCCTGTCTATCCTGTGTGACTCAGACACATCATTTTTACACATGAATACACAATATTTAATGTAAAGTTGTGCTGCAGTTTATCATTAGGACGAACCTAGCAACAGTTGCTATGAAAGGGCACATTGGTGGGCAAAGCATGAACAGTCCATTGATTTTATAACTCAGTGCTGGTGTTTCTTTATCATGTTGTTTTTGTGTGTGTGTGTGTGTGTGTGTGTGTGTGTGTGCAGGCATGCACTAACTTCAATGACAGTGGGGCGTGTGTGACTCAGTGCCCTCAGCCGTTCGTCTACAACCCCACCACCTTCCAACTGGAGCACAACCCCCGAGCCAAATACACCTACGGAGCGTTCTGCGTCAAGAAGTGTCCACGTAAGAGATATAATACACACACACACACACACACACACACACACATGCAGACAGAAACACACACTACTAAGTTTGGAATGAGGATGCACTGATGTGGGAGCTGTGAGCTGATGCCGATATCTAAAATTTTTCATTTCGCATGAAATTCCGATATATAAACATTTATAAAATTTATAAATTGGGATTAGATCTACATGAATCATCATCACAGAGAAACATTTGTTTCTGTAGCATCACAAGTTTAATAAATAAAATGCAGGTATTTTAGTGAAGTAACCCAGTGTCACCTAAATGTATGTCTCTTCTAGAGCACAACAGATACATTATCAAATGTCGGCTTTAAAAATCAGTCAAATCCAAACATCTGTTTTTTTTCAAGCGCTTATCTGCCAATATTGATAAGATCCCATAATCAAAGTTTAAATACTGCAGTAAATAATAAATTATGAAACTTTCTCTTGGCACCAGCATGATGATGGGAATACAAAGGGTTAAAGGGAGTTTATAGTCTATACCGCAACTCTGTGTCTTACGGAAGTCCAGGGAGGCCATGAGCTGTTGCTATAATTTTCTGGATTGTGATCTTGAGATAACAAGTTAATTATCTTGTGATCTCAAGTAAATAACTTTGCTTCCTTGACATCACAAGATAATTAACTCGTTATCTCAACAGAATAATCCAGAAAATTATAACTACCTCATGGCCTCTTTGGGCTTCCGTAGTCTCTCTCTCTCTCTCTCTCTCTCTCTCTCTCTCTCGAATAAAACATCTTAAAGTACCTTTTGTTGTCTAGTTTTGAGTATTAAATTTGCATTGTTCAAGTTATTGTAAATAGAAATAAAAAATAATCATAAAAGATAGTGATTCCAGTGAACAGTAGTGTACGCACACACACACACACACACACACACACACACAAACACACACACACACACACAGGCACAAACCTTCCCCCTCAGAACACCTCACAGAGAAAAAGTTGCGGCACTCCTCTGAACACTGCTGTGTCTTTGCTGTGGATGTGGATGTGGTGACGTCTGAGACGGTTCTGAACGCACTCAGGGAATTCCTGCACTTTAAACTCTCTCAGTCTGAGCGCTGGAGGATGTCAGAGAGACTTTACCATTATTTATTCTTTTAGGAAGTGTTTACAGACCTGTGTGTGTGTGTGTGTGTGTGTGTGTGTGTGTGTGTGTGTAAGGTTTTGACATAAAGAGTATTTTCGGGGGCTTGAGGTTCATCTGTCAGGATTATGACGCCTCTTATCATGAGAGCTGCTCAAATATAAACACTGATGCGATGTTAGAGCCAGTAACCCTCAGCCAACCTGCAGCTTCACCAAACCTGATCTTTCAGCACACATTTACCATCATTTACTGTTTATTACTTTATTATATCCCATTTTTGTATTTGTTTGTTTGTTTGTTAATGTTTAACATTTGAGTGTTTTCCAGATTCTGTGAAGGTTCTGGTTTCCACTCTTAGTACTAAAAAAGCTTATTTGACTCATTACAGTAGTGGGCCCATTTCAGGTGCTTTATAGAACCATTTTAAGAGGTTCTAGGTTCATTTCAAAAGGTTTACCATCCTGAAGAAAAAATACTTAACCAGGAAAGGAATCATAGTTCTATACATAACCTCTGCCTCCACTAAGGAACCTTTGGAGAACTTTTAGGGATGCATTATTTATAAAATTAAAGATTTTTTTTCTTTTTTCTATACACAGCTGCTGCTGCTATAGTGTATGAGTGCATTTGTATATGTACATACATTAATTTACCAAATGAAATAAGAAGTGCAACATCACTGATATCTGATGCTCTGATGTGATCAAACACACCACGACCTCTAGAGCAGAAGTGAAAGACGGAGTTCTGTTCACTACCAGAGTTGATGTTTCAGTCTGACAGTACATGTGTCATTTCTACCGTTACAGTGTGTACAGTGTGTGTAACTGTGTTTTTCCCATATGTTATTCTGACAGATAACTTTGTGGTGGACCACAGCTCGTGTGTGCGCGCGTGCCCCAGTAACAAGATGGAAGTGGAGGAGAACAAGATAAAGATGTGTATCCCCTGCACAGATATTTGCCCTAAAGGTACACACACACACACACTCACCGGCCTCATTCTAACATCCTCAAATAATGGCTAACAGTCATGCAGCACAACCTGATATGTGCCCTAAAGGGATCCAGTCAAATATACTATATGTCTAAATGTCTAGACACCTGCTCCATCAACGTTTCTTCTGAAATCAGGGGTATTAAATGGGTGAATACATGAGTACTCAGTTAACCCCTTTAATGGCCAGGGCCCAAAGTTTTATGACAGACTTCTATGACCTAAGAATAGCTCAGCCAGTTTGCACTAAAGTCCATTTAATCATTGGATATTATGTCTTAGTGTGTGATAAGCCTGGGATTTTAAAGGGTTAACCATTTGATGAATAGAATTAGTTGCATTTATTCACAGCCAATAATTCAGAAAAATGCCAATTTTATATTTTTACAGAAAATCGTCAAAGTTTTGCTCATATTTATAAGTATGCTATGTTAAACTTTGCTTCTCTGAAATGTGAGTGCCTTTATGTGGACAAATATATTTCTCTGACCAACCAACAAGTTGGCACTTCATCCACTGAGGGTGAGGTTACACCTGTAGAAGACGACGAGTCTCCATCAGCATCCAGTGTTGTACCAGTTGGCTGTAGTTTTACCTCATTAGCACAACTGAGGCTGTCACTGTTACACTCATCCAACATGATAAGCTGCTGATTTCCTTCCCTCCACTGTTTCTGCTGAAGTAGCTGTCCACTGAAGGCACTGAAGCCATTTAAGAGTGCTGTGTTTGAATGAGAGGACTTCAATCACGGTTTCTCTCACAGCAACACACAGTGCGCCATTATAGTGTACAATCGTATTCAAAAGTCTGAGCCCTGCTGGTCAAATGACAGACGCAGAACCACTATTGTTCAGTCATCTTTAACTGAGGTGTATTACCATTAGAGATCAAAACACAAAATAAAGTAAAAGTTTTTAATGTAAAAGTGAAACATTGGCTTAAACAGAGACAAATTTTTCATCATTTTGCAGGTTTTAGTTGATATATGGACATAAAGATGCTTTCATTCACAAATGTAATCATGCAAATAGCCATGCATGTTTTATATATTATATATATTAACTCCAGATGTGGTGCTATAAACCCCTTAAATGGCCAGGGACCACCGGCAGGCCCAAACTTTTATCACACCCTTCTATAACCTAAGAATAGCTCAGCCAGTTTGCATTGAAGTCCACGTAGTTACTGAATAATAAGCCTTAGTATGTAATAAACAGGGACTGGGGCTGCAAATTAGCTTGAACTGGATACCCTATATACATTACATGTGTTGCATTCTATGTAACAATGTTTATCTGTATCATCCCTGTGAAATAAACAAATAAAATTAAATTAAATATTTTGTTAGTAAGTAAAAAATAGTCAATACATTTTCTACAGAGAACATGATTTTTAATGCACAGTTACTGTTAATTTACTGAATTTATCATGTTGAAAAAAATAAACTATAGTCTCAGCAAGTAAATTGAAATCGTGCGCTGAAATTAGCAGAAAGATGCTATAAGTATGTTTTCTATAGAAGACATATTAACTTATTTTCACTGAACAAATCAACAAAATGTAATTTGACCAGGGGTGTGTAAACTTTTGCATGCAACTGTATATCATTCACTTTTGCAGCATAACTGTAGAACACACTTTACAACTTAAACATGTTCTCTAAAGATTTCTTTTTTACCCACTTGCCCTAAAGATGCCCTTCATTCTGAGATATTTATTTTATTTATTTATTTGGCTTGTTTGTGCAGCGTGTGATGGCATCGGCACTGCGAGCCTGCAGACGGCTCAGACTGTGGACTCCAGCAACATCGACAAGTTTGTCAACTGCACCAAGATCAATGGCAACCTGGTGTTCCTCATCACGGGAATCAAAGGGTGAGGGCTTTTCTCTAACAGCCTCCGAGACAAGCACAGCTTAAACCCATTACTCTGTTCACAAACAGCATCACCCTGAGTCCAAACACAGCACAGAGAGCACTCGTGGCTCTAGGGATACAACGGCATTAGATAAAGAATAAAACCGAGCGCTGCTGAGCCCTGTCTTTTATTTTGGCCTTTTACTGAAATGATTGCATCTGAAATGTTGAACTGTTTGGACCTTTTGAGGTTTTTCAGCATCAAACAGTTAAACACCATAAACTCAACTGAGATTACTTTCATAGTTAACCTTCCTAATTACTCTTAGTGTAAACGCAGTGAAATGCCTCATCGCACATTTACTGTAATTTCTTGTCACTCATAGCTCATTTAATTCAGCGGACAAATTGTGAAAGTGCAGATTCTAAACATTAAATCAATGTGAGATTTGTGTTTGTATGTACATTTTTTAATGATATGAATTTGATGATAAGATATTATTACAAGCAGCCTTTTTGTTTTGCAGAAAGAAAAAAAATCCTTTACATTTTGCCATGTTTTTGATATTTTTTGACATTGAAGCAAAGTGAAAAAATGCAGACTTGAAATTGTTGATACACAATGTGCATTGAATGTAAATGTATATATGATGTGATTAACTATGCACTTAATATATGTAGTTGTAATATGTAGATTAAAATAACAATCTGATTGTATCGACATAACTATTGACATTAATATGAGATTAGTTTTGTAACTATTTAATTACTAAACATAATATGAAGAAAGTAGCTGTATAGTTAATTATGTAATTATACTATTAAATTGAATATATTTATATATATATATATATATATATATATATATATATATATCGCTGTTGTCAGAAGAAAACCTCATATCTCCATTTTTGATGGTTTTCAGTTTGTGACATAATTTGAAAATACCGTATACCCTTTTCATTGTTTGTACATTTCGTGATGAATGGACTAAAAGACACAACCCAAAATGACTTGGGAAAAAGTCTGGTTCCATTGACTTACATTAAAAATAAAGTAGGTTTTTTCCTTCTTCTGTAAAGTTATCATTTTGGTGATAAGAGGTTTTCTTCTGACAACAGTGATACAAATATATATATATATATATATATATATATATATATATATATATATATATATATATATATATATATATATATATATATGTATATATATATATATATATATATATATATATGTGTGTGTGTGTGTGTGTGTGTGTGTGTGAGTATATCATATTATATACCAAAATAAGTTAAAAAGCGCAGCAGAGCAGCACTGAACTACGTTATTAATAAAGCTGTAATTCCAGCTTTTCTGCTCCACTGCTGCACTGTTCCTCCTCTACATCGCTCTGCTACTGAGCTGATTGGTATGAATTGGTGGGTTTCTGTGAGCTGCAGTGGGTTTGTATCTGAGAAGTGAGGTCTTTATCCTGAGGGGAAGTTAAAAGCACTCTGCTGTAGCTGCTGCAGAGATGCCACCAAACAAACCAGAGATGCTGAAAGAGCTTTTAAATCTCTCTCCCTCTCTCTCTCTCTCTCTCTCTCTCGCTCTCTCTCTGTATATGCATACACCTAGACGCAAGACATTCAACTCAATTTTTCACAACTCCACACATTTAATGTTGCCGAACATTTCTTTTGACATGACAATTTGGTGTATCTTGTTCACATTGGTGGTCCTTTTAAAACAGTCAATTACAGACAGATTTATTTCAGCTTTAATTCACTAGTTCTGAATTCCTGTAGGTCAAAATGTATACACCAAGTTGACTGTCTGTTTAAACATGGAAGATTCCAGAAATTAAGAGAAGATCCTGCTCCAAGACCAGCATAAAAAAGCCAGTCAGACGCTTCTAGGTAATCACCAAGACAAGTACCTGGTCTTTTAAAGGAGTTTGGCCATAATAATCAGCACTATGTGTGGAGGGAAAACTTTGAGGCTTATAATTCTAAGGACACCATCCCAAATGTGAAGCATGGTGGTGGCAGCATCAAGATGTTTTTTCACACTTCAGAGAATACGTCACCTCGAAGAAGGAGCTTTATCTAGAAATGCTGAAGCAACACCTCAAGGCATCAGCCAGAAAGTTGATTCTTGATCACAGCTGGGTCTTACAGCAGGACAGTGATCCTAAGCATTCACCTGAAATTGTGACAAAATGACTTGAAGGTAACAAAGTGTAAGTATAGGAGTGGCCATCACAAAGTCCTGACCCGAATCCCATGATGGACTGGACTGAAATAGCATGTCTGAGCAGGAGATCCACAAACCTGACTGAGCGAGACCCAGGCTACCCCAAGCATTTGCTAGTTAAGCAATTTAAAGGCAGTGGCATGAAATACTAACAAAGTGTGTTCAATATTTTTCTACACACTGAAGATCTGATACAGTAATACAACCTGTTTGCCCAGAAGCTGTTATTTTAAAATCAACTCTCCTGGAAATAATCTGTAATCTGGCTGACTTAATATGGGAAATGTATGGTAGCATGCAATGTGTGGAGCTCATTCCTTTCTGTCACTCTGTCTATTTCTTTCTCTCTCTCTATCTTTATATCGAAGGCCTGTGGCATTTATTTTGCTGTTGTGATGAGAAAGTCTGAAACAGTGAAGGTAGAGTAGAACAATAAACATCTGTTAATATAACTTATAATGTAAAAAAAGAAAGTAAAGCATCGTCATTTCTATTCGTCTATTTCTATTCCTATTTCTATTAGAGCAGCTGTTGTTTTCAGCTGGTCTTTCCTGGTCCTACTTTGTTGCTTTGCTCTCCTGATTGTTTCTTTAATAGATTTATTTATTTATTTATTTATTTATTTAATAAGGCCTGCTGGAGTCACTCATGTTGTTGGCACTGGGTTCCACTGTGGTCCACAAAGCCAGCATGAGAACAGCTTGTTATGTATTTTATCCAGACTAAAAGCTTTTGAGATGTTGTTTAAAAACACAAATTGAGAACTTGTTACATTGAAATTTAAGCTTAATTTTGTATAGCTGATGATTAAGCTGTTAACTTGTCTGCTGTCATTGTCGCTGAGCAATTTAACATTGTGGCTATGGTGTCATGAGTGTGGGGTTTGGATTATATTGGGGTTCGGAAAAAATCAGGGTGGTTTTTATGTATTTTGTATAGCTAAATGCTAATGCTACAGTCCCTTATACATTCTGCAGAATTGTTGAGATGTAAGTAAAGTCAGAGTGGTTTGATATGAAATACTCCATTGAAGTGAAACTTATAGAGTCAGGTTTCTTTACAGTGGTGGTCATGGAAACCAGAGGTTGTATAGCCATTTTATTTACTGTCCAAAACCACCAGTGAACCTACACAGATCTTGTTGTTATATGTGATGTTGATGATGGTTAACTGGGGGTAAATCTGAGAAAATAAGTTTTTTTGGGAACTATTTTGCCTTAAAATGCCCTGAATGTACCCCTCCACCAGAAATGGTTTTCAAAAAACTTGATTCCAAAACTATTATAAAATAATAGTCAGAAAAATCTGAAACATCAGACACAGTGGAAATCATAATTGATTTTTTTTGGACAGTGAATAAGTGCCTGAGCGATAGCGTATGTCAGAGAGAATGCATATTAAAAGTTCAGAGTGTGCCGAGGCGAGCCTTAGGATACAGATAACCTTTACAAATCATCTCCCGACAGTGAGCTCCGGGACACGGCTATTACATAATATCTGCCTTTTATCTGCAGTTCAGTGTATTTGTTCTGCAGAAGGACAGAAGATTGTGTCTTGTCTGTGCTCATTTCTGCTTTTTAAATTCCTGTGTTTTTTTGCCACTTTTTCAGGGATGTTTACCACAACATAGAAGCCTTGGACCCAGAGAAACTCAACGTGTTCCGCACTGTTCGAGAGATCACTGGTAAGACAGCACTGCTCTAGGTCCATACAGCTTCACATGAGGGCTGGAATACAGTGTTTTTCATACATATCAATGGTTTATTACGCTGTTATAACACACAAGTTCACACACTTAATAATTCATGCTGTCCTTGTCCAGTCAGGTCGGTTCAACCACAGGCCATTTTCTTCTACCCACCAATTAGCTTTGATCTCTGTCCATTTATTTCCCCTCTGAGAGATTAAAATCACCACATTTACATAATCAGAGAGAGAGAGAGAGAGAGAGAGAGAGAGAGAGAGAGAGAGAGAGAACGATAAATAGGAGACAGAGAGAGATTATTATTTTTATTCTTATTCCATCCTCTTCTCATTTCTTCTCCTTCCTTTCTGTCCCACTTCTTTAGCATTCCTTTCTTCTTCTTCTCTTCATCTTCTCTTTTTTCTTTCTTGCTCTTTCTTTCCTTTTCTTCTTTCTTCCTTTCTTTCTTTCTTTCTTTCTTCTCTTCTTCTCTTCTGTTCTCTTATTTTTTTCTTTCTTGCTTTTTTTTCTTTTTCTTCTTCTTTCTTTCTTTCTTTTTTCTTTCTTTCTCTTTTTTCTTTCTTTCCCTTCCTTCTTCTTCTTCTTCTCTTCTCTTCTTTCTTGCTCGTTCTTTCCCTTTCGTTCCCTTTCTTCTTCTAATTTCTTTCTTTCTTTCTTTCTTACTTTCACTTGCCTTCTTAGCCTTCTAGTCTCTCTCCCCTGCTTGTTCAGTAATGCTCTCTCTCTCTCTCTCTCTCTCTCTCTCTCTCTCTCTCTCTCTCGCTCTCTCTCTGTCTCGAGGGAGTGTAGGACACCCAACTTGTTTTTTTTTTTCTTTGCTGCATGGAGCTTTAAAGCCACTGATAACACTCAGAGGAAGTCTCTCTCTCTCCCTCTCTCTCCCTCTCTCTCTGAAGTGACAGCAGGCGAGGCAGGCATGCATGTCCCCCTGTCTGCTCCTGAAGCAGAGGGCTTTGCTCTCTGACAGAACAGTGTCCTCTTCGGCGGAGTGTCATTTCTGCTCTGTGACCTCCGCTTGAAATGTTGAGAAACGTCACTTTGAAATGCCCAGTCTGGAGGGCCATGTATATAAACTGTATATGTATGAGGGCCGTCTATAAACTAGCATTCCTTTAGATAGTTCAGGTAAATTTATACAGTTTCCCTCTCTTACCCCAAATGTAGCCAAGACATCATCAGTGTCTGAAGTTCACTTCTTTAGTTTTAGACGAAGGTTTAATGTAGCTGACAAGTAATGGAAGCCTATAACCCACCAACTAACACTGTGCAAACGGTATGACTAAGTCATCACACTCTCAAACTGTGTCAAGTTGTTCAGCATTGTTCTCAGATAGACTGACTTGTGTGGTTTCTGACACTGTGTGAGGTATTGCTACACTATATGTCTAAACGCTCGTAGACACCAATGTTTCTTCTGAAATCAAGGGTATTAATAGGGAGTGTGCTGCAGTAACAGCCTCAACCCTTCTGAAAAGTCTTTACACTAGATTTTGGAACATTGCTGTAAGGATTTGATTGCATTCAGCCACTAGAGCATTAGTAATGTCTGGTAGAGATGTTGGATGATCAGTTCTGGACACTCCAACTCATCCCAGAGGTACTGGGTGGAGCTCCATCACTCCAGAGAACTGCTGGGGGACTTTGTACCCCTCTACACTCTCAGGTACTAAACTGTCTCTGGGGCAGTACCCCTCTTGTCACTGGGTTGGGACCCTCAAGGGTACATCTCAGTACCTTTAGTCAGGGAACATAACTGTACCATAATCCACTGAAATTGTAGATATTTTGTAGATAACAGTCCAGCATGCAGGGTCAGAAACCACATACACAAGTCTATGTGAGATCACATAACAGTTTGACACGATTTCAGACAAGTGTGTGATGATTTAGGTCAATGCTAACCTGGTGCCTGTAAGCTTCCATCACTTGTTAGTGAGTTCAGACCATGCCTTCAATATGGTGGTGGTAGTATGAGGGAAGACTGGATGAGGGAGGGGGGAGAACTCTGAGAACTTGGGCTGGAGTTCTGGGCAGCTCTGTCTGTAGCTAGAATGCCAGACCCCCTCATAGCTGTGGTAGGACTGACCAAGAGGAGATGGGGTGGTGGTGGGGATTGCGAACATTTCATCACAGGAACGGAAGGTGAGGATGTGAATTTATAGGGTGTCAGATTGAAAGAAGGAGGGGTTTCAGGCATGTTCCTCCCCCCAGACTTCAGTTATAACATAACTACATTTAGCAACATTAGCCTTGTAGCTCTAGTGCAAATCTGAAGAAGTAAACACTTCAGACATCAAAAATTAGTGATGCACCAAAATGAAAATTCCTGGCTGAAACTAAAATCCAAGACACACTTGGCCAAAAACTTTTTTTTCTTTTTAAATTTGTTGTTTTGTTTTATATATATTTCTGAATAAAATTAGTATTCACACAAACTACAAGCTAATAAAGAAAACAAACAATTATTATTCTTAAAATCTGCATTCAACAGGACAAAAATGGAGCTGATCAGTAAAACAGTTTGCATAAAACAAACCTACTATATTTGTTACAGCATATTGGCAACGACATATGTGGTTTCTGACCCTACATGCTGGACTGTTATCTACAAAAATGGACAAAAGTAAGGATACATTCTAGGCTTGGCTGCTACTACTGCTCTTCCTTTTTCTACAGATACATTAAATGTCCAAACATGTCCAGACAGCCCTTCTTAGTCATTAATTGAGGTACTTTAACCCTTTAAGGGTGACACAAAAAGAACATTTCTGCCATTAATTCTTCTCTTGACCTTTACTAATGTGATTTCTCTATTTATTTATTTTTATCTATTAAACTAACTTTTAAAAAAACAGAAAATATATGAACACAAGTGACTTTTTACTGTAGTGTTCATGTATTATTATGTATTATTATTATTAAAATCTGCTTTCAACAGGACAAAAATGGAGCTGATCAATAAAACAGTTTGCATAAAAGAAACCTACTAAATTTGTTACAGCATATTGGCAATGACATATGCCACGAAAAAGCACTACGACAGTAAAAGAACATGTTGGCCAAGGCAATGAATTCAACCTGCCACTTTAACATGTCATATCTTCTCAGCCTGAACAGAGATTATAAATCACTTGTCCAAAGTACCTCGCAGAAACAGTTAACTAGATCCACATGGCCAACATGTTCACTGTTCATCTGTTGCGGCTCAAAATGTTTGAATGCGTCTGCGCCGACCAGCACAGGACAATGAAGGAAATAACATTGTTTCTCATTCATATTATTTGTTAAATGTTAGATTTAGATTAGCGGAAAAGAAAAATGTTGTAAATTTGATGACTGTAGGAAGAATTCTTGCTTTGAATTGTATTTATTTAAATAAATAGCCTGTACTTGTCTTTGTGCTGGAGTTCATTTAGTTCGAGGTCAGAGCAGTCAGCGCTCGATGAGGCTGGATGAGTAAATGTGTGGATGAATGGAGGAGGTCAATGAGGAATGCTTGGACTGTAAGGATCACTTTAAAGCTCTTAACCCGTGCTGCTGAGTGTGTGAGTCAGAGGGAATCTCAGACACTCTGCCAGAGGGCCTGAGTGTGAGTGTGTCATCCAGCAGTGTCCAGTTCTCACTGCCTGCAGCCACTGCTGTGTAACAGGTTTGGAGCACTGCAGGGTCCAGCTGGGTTACAGTGGCTGTGTTTACATGCAGAGATTTTATAGATCTGAGGTTTATCTGCTCACTCTACTCAACAATCTGATGGAAAATCTCCATTTACATGAACACCACAAGTAATCAGATCCAAAAGTACCACGTAGAGAACCACATAGTGTAGACGTTACCATGATCAATTACTTTGAAATGATGTCAGATTCAGGAAAACATAATTCATATGTACTCATTAAAGAAGACGTCGTGTTCTGAGACACATAAGCTGGACGTCCGTCCCACCGCCGTCTTTTAAAGATCAGAGCATAAACCTCGTCTCCTTTGCAGACCAGTTTCTGCTCCACCATGTTGAACGTTATGAACTTTCACTATGACGTGACGAACATGATCAGAACGGACTTAAACCTTCCGATAGGGAATGTAATCAGATACAGGCGTTTGCATGGATATTATTCTTCTATTTAATGGATCATTTACAGGATTACTCACCTCGATCAGTCGGATAGAAACTGTATTCCGAATGACCTCAATCAGGCTTGTCTACTCTGACTGAGGTGTTTACATGGACGTATTCTATACCGATTGAGCTGTCAGTCGGATTATTAACAGATTATTAGGGTGCATGTAAACGTGACTAGTGTGTGTGAATGTATATGAACAGAGAACAGTGTATGTGATTCAGGGTATGTGAATTGCCTCTCAGCCAATCAAAACCTTCTCTAAACATTCATTCTTCTATCAAGTAAAGGATAAACTCTGACTGCAACACTAAACGCAGCACCTTTAACTGAAAAGATATAAGTGAAACCCTGCTGAAAACAGGGTGGGACGTGAAACAGAATTCCTACGTTAGCATCTGATGTGAGCCCCATTTGCTTGTAGCAGCACAACACATTTCTATGGAATATTTTGTTTTTTTTTAATGGGAGCAAACCCAAAGTGTTGCATTATATTTTTGGCTCATTATGAGTTACTTTATTGGCTAATGTACATTTTAACGAAGGGGCAGCTTCAGTCACTCAGATGTCTTCTTTATTAGATGTACAACCATGCCACTTTAACATGCAGCAACTGAAAGATTTTCTTGGTTTAATTAAATTAATTAATTTATTTATTTATTTATTTATTGGTTGGCTTTCATTTACATTTTGTATGTTCTCACACTTACGTGCTGTTGATGCTATCAGGTGGTTTAGCTGGAAGTTTGACACACATAGCGACAGTAACTATGGGAGGTGGGACTGCAAATTACTGTCATTCATCTTACTTATGTCAACAACTGCGTTGACGTAACACATTTTAAAGCATAGATATTTCTA